AGCTTATGACTCATAGGAAATATACCCACCATTCTTTGTCTGAAAGCTGGCCTTCCCCTTTTTAATTTCTTAGATTTCTCATCCTAGATAGTACTCATTGGTGCAATCAACAAATATCCTCTAATAGCCTCTCTGTAGCTGGGAGAACAGCACAGAACAAGACAAAGCCCCCACTTGTGTGGAACTTAATTTCTAGTAGGGAGACAGATGATAACTACCAAATGCAACGCACACACACACGTCAGCTGGTCCTAAGTGCGAGGAAGAGTGGATCCCGGAGATGGAGAGAGGGCTGGGATGTTACTCTATGCAGCATCATCAGGGAAGGGCTTCTGATAAGGAGGCACTGGGCAGAACCCAGGAAGAAGAAAGGGAGTCAGGAGGAGATGCCAACGGTGCCCCAGGCAGAGGGAGCAGAAGGAGGGGCACAGTGTGCGTGTGGAATGCAAGGAGGTCAGCAAGGCTGGAGCTACGTGAGTGAGGGGGAGAGTGTTGGAGAAGGAAAGTCGGGGAGACATCACGTAAAGCCTCGTAGTGGCCAGTAAGGATTTTGGTTTTTATTCCAAATAAGGTGAGAATCCACTGGAGAGAATCCACGGGGCAGAGGGGTGACATGATCAGACTTTGTGTTTTAAGATGACCACCTGGCTGGGCTTGGTGGCGTGCACTTGTAGTCCCAGCTATCTGGGAGGCTGAGACAGGAGGATCTCTTGAGTCCAGGAATTGGAGGCCACAGTGCACAATGATCATGAGGGAGTGCAGTGAATAGCCTCTGCACCCCAACCTGGGCTACACAGTGAGACCCCCATCTTATAAATTATTTAAATATAGGCGGGGCATGGTGGCTCACGCCTGTAATCCCAGCACTTTGGGAGGCGGAGGTGGGCGGATTGCCTGAGGTCAGGAGTTTGTGACCAGCTTGGCCAACATGGTGAAACCCTGTCTCTACTAAAACTATAAAAATTAGCCAGGCGTGGTGCCAGGTGCCTGTAATCCCAGCTACTTGGGAGGATGAGGCAGGAGAATTGCTTGAACCCGGGAAGCAGAGGTTCAGTGAGCTGAGATCGCACCACTGCACTCCAGCCTGGGTGACAGAGTGAGACTCCGTAAAAAAAAAAAAATTAAAATTAAAATTAAAAAAAATAAAAATGAAAAATAGACAAAATGAAATGGAATAAAATGACCGTCTGGCCCTTGCCTGGAGAAGGGAATTCAGAGGCACCTTTGGCTACTAGGAGGCAAGTACAGTTGGTGCACATGGCAGTCAGCAATGGCTTGTACCAGGAAGACAGTAGGGAAGGTGGGGAGAGATGGCTGGATTCCTGATATATTGTGAAGGTGGAGCTGCCGGGATTCGTTCACTGATTGGACGTGGGGTGTTCCAGGTTGAATTGCATCCTACAGAATTCACACGCTGAAGTCCTAACCCCCAGCACTGAAGAATGTGACCATATTTGGAGATATGGTCTTTAAGGAGGTAATTAAGGTTAAGTGAGGTCATTGGGGTGGGACTAATTTCATTGGAGGAGACAGTGGGTCTGGGTACAATTGGGGAATGGGGTCACAACCTAGAAACCAAACAGTGCTCTGGGACTCTGTATCTCTTAGGGCAATGCCAGAGCCCTGCCCTCCAGGCCTGTCCTTATTCATGGGGACATGAGAAGAAGAGATTAGGACCCAGACATGTACAGAGGACACCCTGTAAGGACACAAGGAGAAGACGGCCATCTACAAGCCAAGGAGAAAGGCCTCGGGAAAATCCAGCCCTGCCCACACCTTGGTCTGGACTTCCAGCTGATTCTTGGATGAGCTGGTCCTCAGGTGCAGAGGCAGGACTGTGAGAAAGCGAATTTCTGTTTTTAATTCACCTGGTCTGTGGTATTTTGCTGTGGGAGTCCCAGTAGACTAATACATGGGGCTTGAGAGAAGAAGTGACGATGATGCGCAGGAGCTGGATCTGTTTGAAGTCATGATTGGGAAAAGTTCAAGAGCTGGACATTTCCTTCATGACGCCCAGAAGCACCAAGACAGATTGTCCCGCTGGGTTTTACTCAGAAGAGTCTTCCAGTCCACTACACACCGCTGGCAGAGCCAGAACACAGTGCGACAAGAGTGAGACACAGACGTGCAGTCACAAAAGGAGAATCAGCTCCACGCCCAGCGTGATCGCCTTTTGGTGCCCATACCATAATGAGCTCCGGGCCTCCTGTTCCTTCCTCCCCTTCCTGAATCCCTTTTGTTCTCATCTAACCTGCACTCCCCCAGGCCAGTGGATTTCAGTACATCTGGGGAAGGGAGTTGCTAGGATTTCTAGCAATCTAGAAACAAAACAGTGCTCGGGACTCTGTACCTCTCAGTGAAACTGCCAGAGCTCTGCCCTCCAGGCCTGTCCTTATTCATGGGGACCCCAGAGGGACTCACTTGAACTTCTGGCCCATTCACCTGCTGCTCACCCTGCCAGCCCCTGGCCTGGCTGTAGCCACAGTTCCCACCATCACCTATCTCTGGAAACTCTAATTCCTTGCCCACGACACTCTCACGGTCATCCTGTGGAAGTGAGGAGGCTTGCCCCGCCTCCAGACATCCAACTGGGTTGCTTCCTACTCTTTCCAGTTCTCTTATATTTCTGACTCCTTATTAGAAAGGCGTCTTCCATGCCCAGAGCCTCTGCTGGAAGGCAGTTTGAGTCTCACTGGCTGAGCTGCAGTCAGAGTCCGCCCTGGCCCTGCCATGCATCTGCGCACGTCAAGCCCTTTCCCCTGCAGGCTTTGCCCCTTCTTCATCTGCAACATTGTTCCCTATTGCAATTTTCATGAGCAAAGTGAATTTATGAATCTGTTTATCTATATCAGGGGTGAACAAACTATGCCCTGCCACCTATTTTCATAAATAAAGTTTTATTGGAACACAGTCACACATTCATTTTGCCATAGGCTGCTTTCATAGTACAATGGCAGAGAAGAGCAGTTGGTACAGAGACCATATGGCCTGCCAAGATGAAAATATTTACTATCTAGCTCTTTACAAAGAGTTTGCCAATCTCTGTGACAGAGTTAGATTGGGTAACGCTCACAAAGTGGATAAAAGGATTAAAAAGACTACTGCAGAAATCAGGAAGCAAATAAATAAATCCACAGTGTCCTGACAATAATATTAACATCACAATAAAAAAGGGCAACACGAAAATAGTAGGACTGATATTCTCCCACCCACAGTACAAGCTGCTTGTCACATAAAACAATTATCCTCTAACCAGGTCTATCAAGAAGTTGGCAGAGAGATTGGGTGAGTGAGAGAGAGAGAGACAGAAGGGGGAGAGGAAGAGAGGAGGAAAAATAAATAAATAAATACATAAATAGTGGCATTGAGCTACAGATCACATGCTTAGCATGTCATTTTCCCCTTTAATGATCATCTATCTAGCCATTTTATGGTCAAGCACTATTTTTAGGGTTCCACATGCATTAACTGATTCAGTCCTCAAAACAACCCCAAGAGGTAGGCACTATTTATAATTGTCCCCATTTTATAGATGAAGAAGCTGAGCTCGAATAATCTGGCTGAGCTTACACAGCTAGTAAGTGGTGGGGCCGGACTTGAATCCAAGCAGTTCGACTCCAGGGTCTGTGCTCTTAAACTCTACATTATGCTGCTTTTGACCAAGAAAACAAAGTGGCCGAGCACAGTGACTCACACCTGTAATCCCAGCACTTTCAGAGGCTGAGGCAGGTGAACCACGAGGTCAGGAGTTCAAGATCAGCCTGGTCAAGATGGTGAAAATCCGTCTCTACTAAAAATACAAAAAAAAAAAAAAAAAAAATAGCTGGGCATGATGGCAGGTGCCTGTAATCCCAGCTACTTGGGAGGCTGAGGCAGAGAATTGCTTGAACCCAGGATGTGGAGGTTGCAGTGAGCCGAGATTGTGCCATTGCACTCCAGCCTGGGTGACAAAGCAAGACTCCATCTCAAAAAGAAAAAAAAAAAAAGAAGAAAGAAAGAAAGAAAGAGAGAGAGAGAAAGAAAAACACATGTAGCAGAATGAAGGTATTTGTTCTTCCCATCCCCACGCTGCTGCTGGGCAGAGGATCTTTTAACCATAGAATTCACTAGGATTCTTTGTCAGACAGGACTCTATTCTAAAGAATGGGAGCACTGCTGTCATCCTCCTGGAATGGAGTCAGGGATGCCCCCCAGGACACTGGACGCCAATGGGCAAAGGTTCTCAGCAACTTCAACCTAAAAGAGGTCCCTGAGGGGAGAAGAGACCCTGAAAGGAGGGGAGAGGGATAGGAAGGGAGGGGACACCATTCAAGGTAGGCCCTGTGTCAACTACAATTCAACCCTATGAGTGCTGTAAGGAATTAAAGACATATAAGGTAAAGCTCTTTTACACACAAGGAAGTCACCACCCAGCTGGCATCAAAAGCCATATCGATGAAAGACAATGAGAAGGAAGAGATGCATTGTTAACGGTGCGGGGAGCACAGTGGATTGGGGCAGGTGGCCTGGATCCTGTCTCTGGCTGATCACTGCTGGAGGGAAGCCACTCTGCATCCCTGGGCCTCAGTTTCCTCATATGGAAGTGAGGCATTAAACTCAATTTCAAAAGTACCTTCCACCTCTGAGATTCCAAAGTGGATGGTTTGTTGAAGGAGGACTGAGCGTGGGCACCCGGAACTGTGTCATTTGATGAATGAGTCAGACTAGGGACGTCAGAAAAATAATGTCTTCACAATCAACACAAGGGGATAGGCAATTAAGAAACACTTTGCCGTTGGCTTGAGTGTCTGTTCCACTCAAAGGATACATTCCCGAAGAGGGATGGGGTGACTCATCAGGCGGCTGTAACCTGATGAAACAGAGCTATCCAATTTCCTCACTCCGATTCCAGGCAACCAAATTATCTTAATATGGTTTTCCAAAGCAGATTCTCCAGGCAATAGAAGGGCAGACATGAGTTTACAGAGTAAGGAGCAATTGAAAATTGACATTTTTCTGAAGGAGTAAAATTATATCACACACGAGAAATGACTGAAATTTTATATGAAGTAGCATTCAAATGCAAAGGGTATCATCATTAGTAATATCACCATTGGTTATTATTCTCATGCTGATTTGGTCAGCCTTTGAGCCAGTTTTTCTTTCTTTTCTTTTTTTTTTTTTTTTGAGCTGGTAAATCCTGTGTGACTTGGTAAACATAGAAATTCTGGATCTGCAAAGCTGATCAAAGATAAAAATTACTGATATTTAGAAAGTGCTTTCACATACAGATACCTCAGTAGCTCTAGAGAGAGGAAATATTATTTTCCCCAGTCTGTAGTTCTGGAAGGCTCAGAGAGGTTCGGTGACTTATCCAGAATAACAGAGCTTGTCAGGGTTTGGGCTGGCAGTCGAACCCAGGGGGTCAAGTCCAAATCCAACTCACAGTGTTGCTGCTTCTTAAGTGGGTGAATATCCACCCATCCAGCACACCCCCTCACACATATACTCACAAACATTTACTATGCAAGATCCGTGCCCAGAGGGACAGCTGCAAGAGGGATCAGAAGCTGAGGCAGAGAAAAACCAAAATGCCAATATATTCTGGAGATCATAGAACCGTGTCTCTTTCCCTCTTCAAACGCTGCTAAAAGCGCGTAGAGTCTTTCTGGACAGCCGTCCCATGGCTCAATCTGTTAGGCTTCCCTTAGTCCCCAGACTCAGGCTGAATCTGCTCATGGTGGATGTAGAAAGCTCCCATTCTGCTTAGATGGAGTCTCTGGGGTGTCAGGCATACCCCTGCTGCCTGCATCTACGTCCTCTTCTGTCTGGTTGTTTCTGCTGAGGGTGGCTAGGGACCCTCAACAGAGATGGCCCCCCAGAACGGCACTGTTGGACCTAACGCACCCTGGGTTCCCAGTATCTCAGCCACTGGAGTTGCCAGTCTCAAATTACTGGAGGGGAGGGAGGGCAGGCCTGGATCTCAGGATCTAGGTCCTGCGTGCAATGCAAGCCTGAGCTCTCCAGCTGCTGCCATAAGGCTGCTGCAGTGCGGGCTCCTTGTGTCCAGATCCTTCGTATTCACAGGGGGAAGCGGAAGACCACGCTGCCTGACCGAGACTTTATTATAGAGGCTCAGGAAAAAGATGAACTGGTCCCATTCCTGCATCTCCTTTTGCTGGATTTACTTTGCTGCTTCCAGACTGAGAGGTGAGCGGCTGGTGACATGTAACCATCTTGTCTCATCTGGGGCTATTGCTTTGGTGGGAGGTGGGGCAGGGCGGGGAAGACAAAACAGATGATTCCACTGCATGGAAGGGCTCCGTGCTTCCTACTGCCTCTGACCTTGGTAGGGCATGCCGGAAAAACAACTCATCCATCCACCCAAAGCTTGTCCCTCGCCAGTGCTGGGCCATCCCCCATTTTAGACCTCAGTCTTGGGTTCTTTGTCTTGAAATACATACAACACTCTGAAGGTTGATCCAGATCCCTCTTGTTGAGTAGCTGTGGAGACGGCAGATGGAAAATATGCTCAGAAGTTGTTTAATGACCTTTTTGAAGATTATTCCAATGCTCTTCGTCCAGTGGAAGATACAGATAAAGTCCTGAATGTCACACTGCAGATTACGCTCTCTCAGATTAAGGATATGGTGAGTAATACATGGTGCTGACTTTGTGGAATGATTCTTAGAGGATAAACAACCACGCTTTCTGAAGAGAATGTCTTAACTGGGAATTTGAGGGAATGATAGCTCCATATGCAAGCTGGTAGGAGAAGAGAACGCCGGGAAAAGGAAGCTTTCTACAAAACTAATTAATTTCACGAAATGTTACCTAATCCTGGTCATTAACCGTAACAGTCTTAGAAAATCTAAGGAAAGGTGGGGTTACATACTGTATGCTGCCATTTATATAAAATGTCCGAAATAGGTAAATCCGTAGATACAGAAAACAGCATAGAGGTTGCCAGGGTCTGCGGGGAGGAAGGGGAAAATGGCCAGTGAGTTCTTAATGATTATGGGGTTTCTTTGCGGGGGGAAGAAATGCTCTTGAGTTAGTCAGTGGTGATGGTTGCACCACATTATGAATATATTGGAAACCAGTGCATTGTTCCCTTCTAAAATGATTAAACTGGTGAGTTTTAATGTGAATTTAATCTCAATCCTTTTTTTTGGCGGGGGGTGGGGGGGATAGGAGGGACAGAGTCTCACTCTGTTGCCCAGGCTGGAGTGCAGTGGTGTGATCTTGGCTCACTGCAAGCTCTGCCTCCCGGGTGCACGCCATTCTCCTGCCTCAGCCTCCTGAGTAGCTGGGACTATAGGTGCCCGCCACCACGCCCGGCTAATTTTTTTTGTATTTTTAGTAGAGACAGGGTTTCACTGTGTTAGCCAGGATAGTCTTGATCTCCTGACCTCGTGATCTGCCCGCCTCAGCCTCCCAAAGTGCTGGGATTACAGGCATGAGCCACCGCGCCTGGCCAATCTCAATTTTTTTTAAAAAAGGTAGTGTTTTAAGATGGTATAGCTTATTAGTGCTTATCTATATTTAATCACACAATGTTATGAAACTTGAAAGATTTTCCTTCTGCACGTTGTTATTTCCTGACTTTTGCTTTCAAATACGTCATTCATTGATCAATTTTCAGAAAATTTGGGCAGTTGATCCATGCAAAGATATCAAGACTTAAATATTTGTCCACTTTACATTCTGAACACTAAATCTAGGAGGAAAAGAATGATCTTGGTAGTCAATCAAGGGTATAGAATAAATAAAGAATAAAGCTCTCACTTACTTATTGAAAATAGATGAGTGTTTGTGAAATTCCTATTGTGAAGAACAAGTGTCCTATCAATGGAAGACATTTCAAGTGTCTGCTAGGTAAAGTTACATCTGCATTCATTGTGTAGGATGAAAGAAACCAAATTCTGACCGCCTATTTGTGGATCCGCCAAATCTGGCACGATGCCTATCTCACATGGGACCGAGATCAGTATGATGGCCTAGACTCCATCAGGATCCCCAGTGACCTTGTGTGGAGGCCGGACATCGTCTTATATAACAAGTAAGTGCAGCTCAGAACTGAGGCTTTTCAGGTAAGAACGTGTTGATTTCATAGAATTTAAACATAATGAAAAAGGAATGTTTAAAATATGCATGAAATTAAATATTAATCCATGTTCCTAGGACTCCTGAAATAACCGTCATAGAATCTTAGATCAGGAAATAATATGTCATAAAAGCTTAGAGCTGGAAGGAAACCATCAATCTACATGCCCCTTTCTCAGGTGGGAAAGTGGAGGCTGCGTTAGTTTGCTAGGACTAACTTTGCCGTAACAGAGTAGCACAAATTAGGTGACTTAACACGAACGTGTTGTCTCACAGTTCTGGAGTTGAGATGTCTGAGATGCAGGTGTTGACAGCGTGGTTTCCACTGAGGGCTGTGAGGGAGGATCTGTTCCAGGCCTCTCTTCTAGCTAATGGTGGTTTGCTGGCAGTCTTTGGTGTTCCTAGCATTGTAGAGCATCACTCTGAGCTCTGCCTTCATCTTCATATGGTGTTCTCCTGTGTGTTCCGTGTCCAAATTTCCCTTTTATATAAGGACACCAGTCATATTGGGTTAGATGCCCACCCTACTCCAGCGTAACTTCATCTTAACCTAACTAATTACATCTTCCATCATGCTATTCTCAAATCAAGTCACATTCTGAGTGTTGGGGGCTAAGACTTCAATATGTGAATTTTTCAGGGACACAATTCAACCCTTAACAGTGACATTCACCATCCAAGATCATGTATCAACAATTAATTAAACTGGAATGGGCCATCTAGAAACTGACCTGTGGATTTGGGGTTTTGTGTGGAGTGGAAGATGAACCAATTTACAGGATACAAAGTGACCTTTTCCCAGTCTCAGAGCAAGGGGCCTTGTACAATGGGTAGGTAAGATTTATGTTTCGCAGGCTGGAAGGTGCATATGAATCTCCCAGGGAGTTTGTTAAAATACAGATTGTGATTCCACGGGTATGGGGCAGGCCTGTGATTCTGCATTTCTACAAGCTCCGGAAGACGTAGGTACTGTGGGTCCATGGGCAGCATTTTGAGAAAAATACCAGATCTCTGGTCACCGTTCAAGCTCAGTGGCCCCACCTGTTGTCGAAGGAGCTTCTCTCTCTTTTTGTTCTGGACCCGTTTCTGTGGAGTGGGAAGGTTCCTCTGTGGCTCAGAAGGATGTGAATGAGGGGCAGCTCAGGGGGCTCCCCTGGGTAGAGGCTTCCAGTGGGCATGGATTTCCTTTAAGGAAGCAACACGGGTGGGTTGCAGCCTGGATTTTAGTCTCACTCCTTACTCAGAGAGCTCATCTAAGGGTCATGACCTCTGGAATCATAGCCCTGTTCTTTCTGTCCATTCACCACTCTGAGTGGTCTGTATCCCTTCCCAAGGAAGATAACAGGAAGATAACATTCAAGTACTGAGCTTTATTCCTTCAGTTTACACTCCCTGCCCGTGTTCACTCTCTCTGTCTCTCTCTCTCTCTCTATGTCACACACACACACACACACACACACAGAGAGAGCAAGAAAACAAGCCACAATGTCCATTACCACTCTAGAGTCCGCAGAGTGCAGGAGAGTAATATCTGATAATTTCATTGATACAGGCAGGGTGTGGGGGCTCACCCCTGTAATCCCAGAACTTTGGGAGGCCAAGGCAGGTGGATCACCTGAGGTCAGTAGTTCAAGACCAGCCTGGCTAACATGGTGAAATCCCGTCTCTACTAAAAATTTAAAAATCAGCTGGGTGTGGTGGCAGGTGCCTGTAATCCCAGCTACTTGGGAGGCCGAGGAAGGAAAATCACTTAAATCTGGGAGGCAGGGGTTATAGTGAGCCAAGATTGCACCACTGCACTCCAACCTGGGTGACAAGAGTGAGACTCCATCTCAAAAAAAAAAAAAAAAAAAAAAAAAGAAAAAGAAAGATAATTTCATTGACACAGATGATCTCTTATAGCATTCTGTAAATTCTTTTTTTTTTTTAAGACGAGCTGTCACTCCTATCACCCACACTGGAGTGCAGTGGTGTAATCATGGCTCACTACAGCCTCAACTTCCCAGGATCAGGTTATTCTCCCACCTCAGCCTCCTGAGTAGCTGGGACTACAGGTGCATGCCACCATGCCCAGCTATTTTTTATTTTTTCTTAGTAGAGACAGAGTCTCACCATGTTGCCCAGGCTGGTTCTGAACTCCTGAGCTCAAGCGATCCATCCAGCTTGGCCTCCCAAAGTGCTGGGGTTACAGGCACGAGCTGCTGTGCCGGCAAGCATTCTGTAAGTTCTAAAAATTCTCTCCAGAAATCAAACAGAATGGTGGTTCTCCTCTCCCTCCTGTTTTGATTGGCTGAGGCGATGACCATGTCTTCCTGAAATGCTTCTTTGCAAGCTTACAAGACACCCTAAGTTAAGCTGACTCCACTGCTCCCTTATTAGAGAAGCCAGTTATGTACTTGTGAGCTCAAACAAGCCTACTGTGGCTTTGGTCGGTTCTGTCCTCATTCTCCCTTCCCCACTCCCCACTCCTTTACACAGAGCCTTTCACCACACTGGTTCGTCATCTCTTTTTTGTTCCTCTGGTTGACTCTTCAGTCATCTCTGTGCTCTTGTCATGGACAATTCTGTTTCTGCTCCTCTCTTCTCCTTTGCCTTCTCCTTCTCAGTAAAACTTCTCAGAGTTTTGCTGTGTAGAGGAACCTCTAAAAGGAGCTATGATTGGATGACATATTCATGCCTTTAACAAATTGAAATGAAAACGGAAGAGTGTTACAGGATCCGGCAAAGAAGGGCCCTTAGTCATGGCTATTTCCCTGAGCTCAGTCCTTCCAGCTGAATCTCTGACTCTGTAGAATCTACTGATGCCAGATACAATATCACTGCTTCTCAGAAGCAGGTAGAGAATGTCATAGGCAACACAACGGGCTTCCTGAGTTGTGGCAAGAAGGAGAAATAGGGGTATGGGGTAAGTGAATCAGTCCAGTGTAGTGAAGACACCCAGGCAGAAAGATGCTTTGCATCTAGAGTCACTGTTCATGCCCGAATCCATGGGGCTAGACTGGTAGGGAGTGATCAGGAAGGAGATGGGCCTGGATGCCACTTCACAGAAGAACAGTTGAATTTGCTGATGCTTAGTTTGGAAGAGAGAAACCTTGAAGACTTGATGATGGTTACCTTAGGCAATCAGAGAGAAAGTAGGGTGGAAAAAAGAGAACAATGTTCCAGAAGACAAAACCCAAGATAATCGGTAGAAACCAAAGGGAAGATAAGCTCTCAAAAAAAAAAATTTCCCTAATAACTTCGGCAACGAATTGTCCCAAGGAATAGTGAGCTTTTTAGCAATGTAACAGTTCACGTAGATACTGGCTCTTTCAGTAAATCAATAGATAAATTAATGAATTAGGGCTCAAAGTTCTGGTGGGAATGTTTACTATTAGTATATGGTTAGTATAGTGGCTAATATAAGGCCACTGACATTTTTAGATTAGGTAAAATCAGATTACAGAAATTTTAAATTTGAATTCATTATGGCAGGGTTTTCATGGTCAGGGTTTTTTTGGGGTGGGCTGGTGGTTTGCTCTGTCACCTAGGCTACAGTGTAGTGGTGTGATGGTAGCTTACTGCAGCTTTGACCTCCTGGGCTCAAGTTGAGACAGTATTCTCCTCAATAGCGTCTGTAGACAGGGAGCCTTCACTTCAGCTTCCAATTGGTCACAGACTAAGTCTTCATTGCATGAGTTATAACTTCACTTCAGCCTCTGATTGGTTGTAGATCACACTTCATTTGCATAGGGTGTAACTTCACTTCAGCCTCCAATTGGTTATGGGCCAAGTTTTTATTTACATAGGGTGCAACCAATGGGAAACCTCTAGAGGGTACTTAAAACCCAGAAGATTTTGTAACCTGTGATCTTGAGCTGCTTACTTGAGCCCACACCCACTCTGTGGAGTGTAGTTTCATTTCAATAAATCTGAGTGTTTATTGTTTCTTTCATTGTTCTGTATTTTCATTGCCTTATTTGTACATTTTGTCCAATTCTTTGTTCAAAATGTCAAGAACATGGATGACCTGTAGTTGAGACCCTCCATGGGTAACAAAGTGATCCTCTCACTTCAGTCTCCTGAGTAACTGGGACTACAGGTATGCACTACAACACCCAGCTAATTTTTACAAAAATTTTTATAGGGATGAGGTCTCACTATATTGCCTGTTGTCCAGGCTGGTCTTAAATTCCTGGGCTCAAGCAATTCTCCTACCTTGGCCTTCTAAAGTGCTGGGATTACAGGCATGAGCCACCATGCCTGGCCCCAGTGGTTGGATTTTAATGAGCAGTTTTAATGGTTGGATTTTAGACCTGGTGAGGAACTGGATGCCCTATTGTATTCAAAAGAATTTGTCTAGAATTTAGCTTTAAGGCCAGCTTATGTAGCTATCCTTAGCAATATAAGATGATTTAGAGAATGGCAAGACTTCCAAATGAGACTGGAAATAAAGGAGGGGGAGGAGAAACAGGTTTGGAAAAAAAGAGGGTGAATTTGATATTCAGTTTGGGGAACCAAAGAAACATCCCTAAGGAAGTGTCCAATAATGAGATTGCAGAGGCAAATTTGAAACCTGGAGAAATGGTCAGGGCTAATGGAGATGCCAAAAGCTCTTAAAGTCCTATAGAACTACTCATGGAAGGAAAGAAAATGGCTGATGATAAAGTTGAAAAAACCTCTACATTTAAGGAATTTACAGAGGAAACTTAGAGTTAGTGGTTAAAGAGGTAGAAGGAGAACTGAGAGAGTCATGTCGTGAAAACCAAGGGAAGAGAGGATGTCTAGGAACAACCCATAATCCCAATGTTTGGGAAGAGTTAAAGAAGACGAAGACTTAGGAGAAGTCTTGAGATTTGCCTAGTTGTACTTGTTGGAAAGACATCAAAATGCGGGAGTCAAGAAATAAAAGCAAGAGGAAACGGGACAACAGCAGGTATCAGTTACTTTTGAAACCAGTGTGTGGAAGGAGATGGG